ATCATTTTGGAACAGGAATTCTCAGTTTGTGCTTGTTGTCTCCTTTGCTTACAGCTGGCATCTTCCTCTGAGGCACCCCTTCTCTCTAATGCACTGTGTCCATTGAGCCCCGTGCACAGGACCTATTTCCATGTTAGAATTAGAGTTTATAAATATATTGTTGCATTTTGGTTTTTGTCTTAGGAACATTCATAAACTAGCCTAATAGGAACCATTTCTCTTCTCTGGAACCCTTTGGTTCTCCATACATTCTGACTGGCATTTCTGTCTTCAACCGTGGGACTTTCTTCTTATTAGTTGTGTAACCTTAACTGAATTGCCTGTATGTGTCTCAGTTTCCTCACCTATTGCAAAAGTAAATATCTTCATCATAGGAGGGGTACAAAGGTTGGATAAGGTCACTTGTAACCTGCCTAGAGTAGTACCTGAGATCTCTCTGTGAAAGTAGGGTCCATTTATTTTACTTTCTTTATTCTTATCTCCCAGCTACGGGGTCAGTGTGGGGATGGGTTATTCAACAAGCAAAGACTAGTCTTTCTGGCCCAAAGCTACCTTCAGTAGTGCTCACTTCCAAACTTCACATTCTGGTACATTCCTACATCAATCCTCCTTCATGAATCTTCAGTTCTTGCAAAAAATGCTTATGTCTCATCTAATAAAAATTTTTTAAAAAGGTGGGAGAAGCCTCTTTGGTACCCCTGCTTTCCTTAAAGCTATCACCTGATCCTTCTTTTACTTAGCCAATAAACTTCTTTGGAAGAGTCATTAGCTGAACTTCAGCACCCCTACCCAGTGGTCCACACATGCTTACCAACCAATGCTTCATCCCACTATTTTCCTGATTTCACTGTTTTAAATAGCCTCTAATTAAAACTCAGATCTACAAATAAGGATATTCTCAAAATCCTTGAGTTGTAGAACATCTGATAAAAATATAATGCAAGCCATGTATGTGATTTTATTTAGTTATTTATCTATATATCAATTTATCTTTAAATCCTCACCTGAGGATATGGGTTTTTTTTTAATTGATTTTTTTATAGTGAGAGGAAGAGAAAGAGAGAGAGAGAGAGAGTAGGAAAGAAAGAAAGAAAGAAAGAAAGAAAGAAAGAAAGAAAGAAAGAAAGAAAGAAAGAAAGAAAGATGTGAAAGAGAAACATCAGCTGCCTCCTATACGTGCCCAACCAGGGATCAAACCCTCAGCCTACGTATGTGCCCTTACTGGGAATATAACCTGCATTCTTTTGGTGTACAGGACGATGCTCCAACCAACTGAGCCACCTGGCCAGGGCTACATAAGTGATTTTAAAAGTTGTAGTAGCCAGGCCCTAGCAAGTTGGCTCAGTGGAGGGAGCATCAGCCTGCAGACTGAAGGGTAGCAGGTTCAATTCCAGTTAAGGGCACATACTTCAGTTGCAGGCTCCATCCCTGGCCCCAGTCGGAGCTCATGCAGGAGGCAACCAATTGATGTATCTCTCTCACATAGATGTTTCTCTCTCTCCCTGACACTCTCTCTAAAAATCAATGGGAAAATATCCTCGGGTAAGGATTAACAACAACAACAAAAAAAGTTGTAGTAGCCACATTAAAAAAGTGAAAAAGAAACATAAAAAGTTTAAAAGCCTCATAAAAAAGCAAAAAGCAATAATATATTGTGTTTAATCCAACATATCCAAAATAGTATTTCAATATTTAATCAATATGAATATTCTTAATGAGGTATGTTTATTAATTTTTAAAACTATGACTATGAAATCTGCTGTGTATTTTATACTTAGAGTACATTTCAATTTGGACTTGTCACATTCCAAGCACTCAATAGCCATATGTGCTTACTGGCTACCAGATAGGACAGTGCAGGTCTACACCATTTGACTGAGATTTTCTGGCACCCTCTTTAATATCCAAGATAGCTCTTGGTTTTCATTGAACACCTCTGATTGCTTCTTCTGTGCATCTTTGCTGATTTTCCTTTCCTTTCTCTCTGTCTTCTTCATCCTCAGATAGGTGGTCCCCTTCCCCTGTGAAAAAGATCTGCCCCACTCCTTCTCTACCTTAGTTTTACATGCTCTGGGCACTGAGGAGAATGTCATGTCAAATCAGTGCAATGACCATGAACACAACACTTACGTCAAACTGAAAGGTGGGAACTGGAGAGAGAGGAAAAATGTTCTTACTTCCCCCTTACACTATCATTCCCTTGAACTGATTTGCAGTGCATACTCTGGTTGCTTTTTGTTCTTTTCTTTCCACCAACCCTTGGTTCATGTTTTTATCCTTTGCAGGGACCATGTTCTATAGAATGTCCTGATGTATCACTTACTGTACTTACCACTCAGCAGCTGATATAATTTACACCCTTAGAAAAAGTGCTCTTGGAATATCTGTGCAGCTGTCTGCAATAGGTACGCACAGGGCACAATGACTGATTTACGGGGTGGCAGAATATTATGGTTGATAAGCTCTTCGTTATTTAGGGTGTTGTGCTTTTACAAGGACTCTGAGAGCCTGCTCTGCATGTGTCCCGTGGCACACGTGGTAAATCTAATCTAAGAGGTTGAACATGTGTGTGAATGCCTCACTGAGCTGTATCACCCACACAGCGAACTACTTAATTCTGAGTTTTATGCCAACTTGTTTTTATACGTCTCTCCCCAGAGTGCATTCAGTAGTAAAAATGTGTAGATCTAGAGAGTCAGTTTGCTTCATCAGGCAGGTATGTGATCAGAATATATGGAATATCACCATAGACCTTTAACTGCATTCTCTTGTAGGGAACAGTATTGCCATACAGGAATAGTATGCTTTGGGGATTGAAATAGTATTTGCCAAATGTAGGGATGAGGTCAGTAGATACCTTTTAAAAATCAAACAACTCATTCCTTTCCTGCTTTCATCACCACTGGCATGTGCTAGATGACAAGTCTTTGACTCACAAAATTAAATAGGTTTACTGAGGGTTCAGGCTTCTCACCTGTTTTTAGAGATTAACGAACACCTGTTTGTACCCACTTTTATTCACTCAGATTCTATATTAACTTTCTCTATTGAAGCATTCTTGAGATTTCAGAGTTCCTCTCCCCTGACCTAAGAATAAATAAAACTTCTTCCCAATACTTAATAAATTAAATGATCTCTGAAAGCTGGTAATAATCATGATTCATTTTTCTTTGATGAAATCCTTAAATCATTGTTTTAGTTGTGTTTTTATATGAGCTCACTGCATCTTTTGTGAGAAATTATTTGTATAAAATTAAATAAATGAATAAATGTTATAGCTCTTGATAAAGTACTCTGTGTGTTCTAATGTGCACACTATGCATACTATCTATTTCTAACTGGGATACCAGAAAGACAGACTATCTTCAGATAGTTGTAATACATACACATTACATTTAGATATGGGGACTGACTAATGTTTGTATTATAAACAGCTTACCAAATATTATGAAGAAAATGAGGTGCATTTCACATGAAAACTGCTACAGTATCACCATTATGCTTTTCTTTGCATTGATGGCAGCCTAAAATGATGGCTAACAAAGATTTCCAATTAGAAGGAAACCAGAGAAGCCCTCTTACCCCATATTTTACTGCCTATTCCATGCCGAGAAATGCCAGGCATTAGTATAGACCCTTTGATTTCATAACCAGCTTTGTGGTATCAGCCCTGTAATGGTAATGGAATGTCCTATTCTAGGTAACCACTAACTCAACTCTGTGGTGTGTGTGTGTGTGTGGGTGTGTGTGTGTGTGTGTGTGTGTGTACATATTGTGTGGAGCTCCATGACTAACCTAGTTTTCTCCTTGGCCACCTGCTTCAAACATTTGTCCATATTATAGGAGGTCAAATAAATCCTGAGGCTATTATAGACAAGACAGCCTAGGCTAGAGGAAAGTATAGTGTAGTGTCCACCATTTTTAATAGACTGTCAGGATTAATTTTTCAGGTTTGAAGTAATTCCCCCTCATACCCATGGTTATAAGACTTTGGTGTAGCCAAGGATGGCAGCAGGGCATGGTGGAAAGAGCATGGACTTTGAAATAATGAAAGCTTGGGGACGAATCCTGGTTCTGTCACTTAGTATGTGGCCCTGGATAAGCTGCTTAAGCTCTCCTCATCTCTAAAATGATGATATCATACTTGTTATAGAGTTGTTGAGGGAAATAGAGGTGATTCCCAAAAAGCAATTAGCAAACTGTCTAGTAGTGGGCTCTTAGGAATCAGTAGCAATGATGTGATCATGCAACCACACTGTATAGGATTTAAGAGTGAAAATCCAAGTCTCTTTCCTCTCATTTGGATAAAGAATCTGCAGCCAGATACTTCATGTCATCAGTTCAATGTCAACTTAAGTCATCATTTAAAAATGTACTACCTCTTTCAAGTCCTTTGCTATTTGTTGTTTTAACAGTGTAGGGTATGTATTGTAAATCAAATCTAAATGAATCTGAGTCATGCCCCATTTATAATGTCAACAGAGCTTTAATAATTTCTTCATTTATTTTCGGAACACAAATTTCCAGCAACTGCACCAAACAATATGTTTGCATTGTCTTTTTATAGTAGAAATATCATTCTACATATGCTGTTATGCTGTTAATTACCTTCGTGTGGGTCTATGTAACTGTATTCAGATTCACATTCTTATCCAGAAAAGGGATTTATATTCTGGAAACATGAATGATTCAGAGACTGCATGGGAATCTATTTTGGTTCTTCTTTGTTAGGAGATTTTGAATACTTGTCTTCATGCTATGTAATCTGAATTGATATATTATTTTCCTGCTTTTCAGGGATTACTTTATTTTTCCTCTGAAGCATGTAGAGGTTGAGTGAAGAAAACATAAAAACTCCACCTAATTATTTAATACATGAGATGAGTTTATCCGAAGAGAAATTGACGTAGCTTATGTTTTAAAAGGTTAAGGAAATATTTCTTAGTTTTTACTCAATATTCTAATCATTTGAAAATTTATTTCTGTTGCTTTTTACTTAGGTTACTTGTTGGTTTCAGAAAACCATAAGAGATTTACGGGAACAGAGTCTCGGTTCATCACTTTCAGATAATGAGGAGCTAATCCATAAGCACGAGGAACTAAAAATAAAAGCAAAGGTAAGAGACACATTAAAAAATAATTGAAACATGCAGGTTATTTAGAGAGGCACCAAACACTGTCTTTGACTGAAACAAATTTGATTGCAGGTCTTAACTAACTCCACTCTACTGTGCCAGCTTTCTAAAAAAAAAAAAAATGTTTTTCTACACTGAGGTCTCAGTATGATTTCCAGATATAGTTTACTTGCTGTTTCCATTTATATTTCCCCAATCCCTTAATTTGCTGCACATTTTTTGGTTTTGCACAAATTAATGGCTACCAGCTGGGCAACCACTTGCAGGTGTTCGAATGTGCAAAATGGAACCATGAAGTGCTGAGGCAAAAGGGGCAGAACAGCCACATAACAGTGTTCCCTCTGCATTGTCTTGTTTGGAAATGGACTCCTGTGTGCATGTGGGGGTTATAAATACTTTCCAGAGTTCTTTCCAGGTGCTCCATTTTGATCTGCAAGAAAACAAAAGTCTATCTGTAGTAGATTGAATGGGAATGGTAAATACTTGAATCAATATCAGGCATAGGGAACTTTCTATTATCAATATGTTGGATGCCTGGTAGTTATAGGTACAGCTCAGTCAAGAAGCTCTGGAAAACAATGGGCCAACACTTCTAGACAATGGTTGAGTATAAGGAAAACAAACCAAATAAATATTACATGTTTGAGAGGATGGGATTTGGGTGGGGCAGGAAAGGCAGTAGGTTGCATTGATCTAGACTGAAGTTTCCTTATGGGAATCATGATGCCTTTGTTTGTTTTTGCTTCTCTTTGAACACTGCAGCATGCATAGGCATTCAAAGTGTTTGCTTTGAATATTTGCTTAACTGATAAAAGATGCAGTTACAAAGACTTATGACTGATGATTTTCTAAGTATTTTAAAAATGTCTCTACTTACGAATTTTTAAAAATTATACAAGAATTTATTCTGTGTGTGTCAAACAAGTTTTATCAGTGAAAATTCTATCAAAATCCCTAACTAGTAAGCACAAGAAACAGCCTCAATTGTATACAGGAGTTGCTTCCTTTAATGTATACAAACTAAAATGGCATGTTCACGTACTGTAGACCTCCTTTAGGATTATATTCACTGTTAACTGTGGACTATGGTTTCATACAGCCTTGAGGATAGTTGGAGTAGAATATTTGTTAGCATATAATCTCAGTTCCAGTAGGACACAGTTTTTATCATTCTCTACATTCCACATTTGTAGTGCTGATATCCATAAATAGAAAAACACAGATATTCTTTTCACAATTATCCCAATTTTGCAGACATAAGGGGTTTAAGAATTAAATTTTTATTCATAAATATTTTATTATATAAAGTACACCATAGAAAATTTCTAAACTATAAGGAAAATAAAAGTGAATCATTCAAACCAAAGATAGCCATTGTTAAGATAAAATTCTTACTATTTTTGTACATTTCCTTTCAATTTTTTTCTGCACAAACCTAGAAACACATGACATCAGAGTTATGCTTTTTTATTTTTAACTTTATCATAACATAATAACCTTTAGCTGAAAAATACTTTATTATATGAATCCTGTATTCATATCATAGGATTACACATTTTGATTACATATAGAAGCTAAACCATGTGAATATCTAAGCAAATATTATTTTTAAAAGGTACAAATTCCTGATAAACATCATTATGTTTCAGACAAATCAACTGCTTCCTTTCAGGGTCCTGATCGTCTCAGAAATCAGTTACAAATCTCATGGATCAGCTGAGTATTAAAGCATAATCAAATAAGTAGGTTTTTTAAAGCTGAACTGATTTTAGAAACTTAGAGAGAGAAAACTATTTTGGTCTTCCTTGAGAATAAATTTATTTTCTAAAAAAAAAAAATGTATACATTTGCTTTGCTGGAAGTCCATTTTATTGCTTATCTTGAAACATTCTTTATGGGATAAGATTTTCCATCCAAACTGTGGTTTAGCCAATGGAGCCCCCAATTGCTATTAAGATGGTAATAGCAATACCACCTTAAAAAACTACCAAAATATTGAATAGCTATTTAGATTGGGCCAACCCAATAGAGATGAGTACTCAAACATGACTTGTTGATTAAAAGGGTTTGAGATACTTGCTATCATTCGGGACACTAGGTAATCCAATGGCAAGATAACTGATTATTCAAGGCAGCAGGGGCCCCTGAATCATTGTAAATGCAGAGGATGGAGTGGCCCTCTGTTCTGGGGAGATCCACCATGGCTTTCCAGAAGAATGGGGCTTGAGCGGGTGAATAGGATCTGAGCAGTTGGTTAGGAGAGGGTGGTTGTTCCAGAATAAGGTAAAATAATGATAAGACCAGTCTGTCTATGACAAGAGTTAAAGGTCCTAGCAAAGTTGAATCCAGAGAAGAGAGACTAAGGGGAGTTGTTCCAGAGGTTATATGTATCCACAGTGATTGCATAAGAAAGAAATGCTAACCAAACATGGTCATTACAGGGAAGGAAACTTCCATAAGTTGAGAAATAAAAGAGCTTCCTAAGGCTGTGGAAAGTGGGCCTAGGTGACCTCAAAACTCCCTTTAACTTTCAGGTTCCATAAAGAAGACAGGATTCAGATTACAATATCGGTTGTGCTTGTTATATTTAAAACAACATGAATGTAAAAAACACCTTTTCAGAGCTGGCCAAAAGGAGTGGAACTGACCAAAAGAGGAAATAATGACATTTCTGAAAAGTGGAGACAGTGTCTCACTCACCTGGGTATTCCCAGCATTAGAACCCTTCCTGGTATGCTTGATTCATGTTTATTCAGCCCTTTTAACTGTGAAGACGAAAGAAACATTCTTTTAATTACTTTTTATGATTCTCTGGTGACTTTAGGTAACCACTCAATTTCCTTTTACCTATCTATCTACTCATTATTTTTATTTTATTTATTTATTTATTTATTTATCCCTACCCGAGGATATTTTCCCATTGATTTTGATTTTTATAGAGAGTGGAAGGGACAATGTGAGAGAGACACATCTATTGGCTACTTCCCACACTCACCCTTATCAGGGCCAGGGATTGAGACTGCAACTGAGGTATACGCCCTTGACTGGAATCAAACCTAGGACCCTTTAGTCAGAGGGCCGACACTCTATTCACTGAGCCAAACCAGCTAGGGCTTTATTTATTTATTTATTTTTAAAAAAATTTGTGCCCCAGAGTGGAGTTACACAAACTCTTAAATTCATTATAAATCTCCTGCTTGGCCATTCTCTTGCTTTATTTTATTATTGCTCCTTCATTCACTATCCCCATCACATTTCCATTTTCACAGGCGCTCTAATGGGTTCAATATGCGTCTGTTAGACATATTCCCATTCCTAAAATATATACATGTTTCCAATTTGCAAAAATGGGCCTACGGCATAGATCTCATTATTTCTTCCCATAACACTGCTTGCTGGTACGGGGCCAGGCTTTATCTCCTGCCTATGGCACTCAACCTTATTCTATGCCAGATGGCCAGTGACCCTGACACTGACACTTGCCACCTTTTGGCTCCTCAAGGAAGCTTCTCTTATCGATAAGCTTTATTCTGACTTGTTGTCCTTCACAGGAAGGACCAGCTGATTATTTATAGAGCTCAGTACAAAATGAAAATATAGAGATTTCCTTTAAAATTATTGAGATTTTATTTATTTTTATTTTTGTTAATCCTCACTCAAGGATATTTTTTTCCATTAATTCCTAGAGAGAGTGTAAGGGAGGGGAAAGTGGAGAGAGATATCAATTGGTTGCCTCCCCCTTTGCTCTCCCTTCCCTCCCCACCCCCACATGGGCCCCAGGGAGCCCAGAATTGGACCTGCAACCCAGATACTTGCCTTTGACCAGAAATCAAACCCAAGATCTTTCATTATAAGGGCCAACGCTCTAATCACTTAGCAACACTGGTCAGGGCAAATATTATTGGAATTTTAATGCACCAACAGCACAACATTAACCTAAGCACAAGATCCTTCTGAGATTAGGGTCCTGTGTGGTGGTATAGGTCACTGGACAATGAAGCTGGTCCTATTGACAATGTTAAGATCCCTGGAAAGACCTAACAACCTTAGATGGTTAACCAAAACTTGAGATTATAATGTTATAGCAGGTTGTGTCTACATAGAAAAAAACAGGTTGAAATTCTGGCTATGTCACTCACTATGCCAGCAGTTCTCAACCTGTGAGTCGCGACCCCTTTGGTGGGTGAATGACCCTTTCACAGGGATCGCCTAAGACCATCAGAAAACACATATATAATTACGTATTGTTTTTGTGATTAATCACTATGCTTTAATTATGTTCAATTTGTAACAATGAAAATACATTCTGCATATCAGATATTTACATTACGATTCATAACAGTAGCAAAATTACAGTTATGAAGTAGCAACAGAAATAATTTTATGGTTGGGGGTCACCACAACATGAGGAACTGTATTAAAGGGTCGCTGCATTAGGAAGGTTGAGAACCATTGCACTATGCAATCTTGGGTACACTTGACCTCTCTGAATAAGGAGGAGCCTAGCCATGAAAACTCAACGAGAAACTATTTTTGAAAACATCCACATTTCAGTAGTGGCTCCAAAAATGTTGTTTACTTTGCCACCCATGACGTAAATGTGCAAATAGTTTTCATCTGTGGTTTTTCAACAGTCTCATTCCTTGTTCTTAGAGAAGGATTCCAATTTTATGTGTCCTTAAATAGGAGGAAGCATATTACATTTTGGACTTTTATTTGGGTGTGAGTATGAGGAGAAGGGGAAATGTTCCTTTCAAAGGAGATTTAACATAGAAATAAGGCCTCAAGCTGGGGATTCATTAGTGAAACTCACGTAAATAATCTGGGAATCCAGGGAAAGTAGGTGCTTCTGCTTCCTACAGCTAACACACACAGCAGGAACTGTTCTGTATTGCTTATTAGTTCTTTCAAAACAACTTTGAAAGTGCCTCTATCTTGCTGGAATATACTCAAATAAGAAATATAGCAATATTCATATCTCT